ACATAAGACTTTTTCGCGAATCTCTTGCATACTATGGGACGAAGTGTACACGAGCGCGTCGCCGCGCGCGCATGCCGAACTCCTTCAAACACCTTCGGTGTCGGAAGGATTTCGCAATCGAGTTTCCAAAAAAACCATACAAACACACAGGGCGTCGCAACAATGATTTGCTAAAAAAGCTTACGCGCGAGCCCTTGCGAATTTTTAAGAAAATCATAGGTTTTTTTTCAATCTGTTCACAAAATGCTACCAAACGGGCTTCGCGCGCGCGCATGCCGAAATCTGTCGAACGCCCTTGCGCGTGTGCCGTCGCGAGAATCCTCTGCACAAAATGGGACGAAGTGCAGACGCGCGCCGCGTCGCGCGCGTATGCCGAAATCCTTCGAAAACCCACCGGTTTCGGAAGGATCTCAAAATCGTGTGTCCCAAACAACCTACAACACACAAGGTGTCGCAACACGGATTTTCAACAAAAGCGTGCGCGCGCGCTCTTGCGTCGTCGTCGTCGTCGCCGTCCTCCCTCCTCCCGCGTCGTCGTTGTCGTCGCCTACGTCGTCCTCTGTCTTCCCTCGTGTTCGTCGTCGTCGTCCTCTTTGGCGTCGTGGTCGTTTCCGTCGTCGTTGTCGCCGTGGTCGTCCTTCCTCCTCCTCCCTCGTCGTCGTCGTCGTCGTCGTCGTCGTCCGTCGTCGGCGTCTCGTCGTCGTCCCTCCTATTTCGTCGCCGTCGTCGTCGTCGTCGTCGTCGTCGTCGTCGTCGTCGTCGTCGTCGTCGTCTTCCCTCCTCCCTCGTCGTTGTCGTCGTCGGCGTCGCCGTCCTTCCTTCTTCGTCGTTCGCGTCGTCACCGTCCTCCCTCCTCCCTCGTCGTTGTCGTCGTTGTCGCCGTCGTCGTCCTCCCTCCTCCCTCGTCGTCGTCGTCGTCGTCTTCGTTGGCGGCGTCGTTGTTGTCGTCGTCGTCGTCGTTGTCTTCGTCGTCGTCGGCGTCGTCGTCGTCGTCGGCGTCGTCGTCGTCGTCGTCGGCGTCGTCGTCGTCGTCGGTGTCGTCGTCGTCGTCGTCGTCGTCGTCGTCGTCGTCGTCGTCGTTGTCGTCGTCAAAGTCGTTCGAGACGTCGTCGGTGTCGTCGTAGTCGGTGTCGGCGGCGCCGTCGTCGTCGTTGTCGCTGTCGTCGTCGGCGTCGGTGTCGTGGCCAAGTGCCATGTGGTACCTACCGTCACGGTCTTGACTTAAGAGGTCTTGCGACCAAGTTGCGGGTGGGAGGGTGGGATGTTTGCACGGGCAGTGGAGAGGACAGCTTCAAGAGGGTCAAAGTGAATTGCGCCACACAGACTGTACCCCATATGGAAGACGCCTACGGCGAATCACCGCCGCCCCCTGTCTTTTGGAATCGCCCATGTGGTCGAGCGTTGTGGCACGAGCTCTGCCAAGCTATCGGACCATGTGGTCCCCCAGCCTTTGTGGAAACCCTTTGGGGGGAACTCTTGGGGGAGGATGGCGGGAAAGATCAGGAGAATGAGGACGAGGAAGAGCAGGAGGAGGGGGCATGTCTTGGGAGCCTCCAGAGGGGCACTCTTGGGGCCTCCAGTGAGCGTCTTGGGAGCCTCTTGGAGGCATCTTGGGGGCCTCCTTGGGCCTGTTAGGGGCCTTTGGTGGCTTCTCGGGGGCTTCTCTGCCTGTCTCGGAGCGTTCCTGGCCCGTCCGACGCCGTCGGAGGGGCCGCTCGGGGCCGACTTAGGGCCCTCTTGGGATGTTCCTCCTCCTCCGCCTCCTCCTCCTCCTCCTCCCCCCTCCCTCCCCCTCCCCCCCTCCCTCCCTCCTCCCTCCCCTCCTCCTCCTCCTCCTCCTCCCTCCTCCTCCTCCCTCCTCTCCTCCTCCTCCTCCTCCGCCTCCTCCTCCTCCTCCTCCTCCTCCTCCTCCTCCTCCTCCTCCTCCTCCTCCCTCTCCTCCCTCTCGTCTTGGAGGCCATCCTGGGCGTCTCGGAGGCCTCGTGGGCCCTCTTGGGGCCGCCTAGGGGGCCGTCTTGGGGGCCGTCTTTGGGGCCTCTTGGGCCGTTCTTTTGGGGGGCTGGGCGGGTGGGTGGGAGGGAGCATCCATGATTCTGGCCTCCTCGGGCCTTCCTGGAAGACCTCTTGGCGGCCTCTTGGGCCGTCTTGGAGGCCTCTTGGGGGCCTCTTGGGCCGTCTTCCGTCATCTTGAGGCCCTCTTGGGCTGTCCTGGAGGCTTCTTGGGCAAACCTGGAGGCATCTTGGAACCTCTTGGGCCATCTCGAAGGCCACCTCGGAGGCCATCTTGGGCGAACTTGGATGCCATCTCGGGTCATCGAGACCGACAACATCCTGCGCTTGAGATGGCCCGTCGCTCCCGCGACGACCTACGACTGGGACTATCGTTACTATGATACAACAGAGCAGGAGCTGTGCTTCGCCTAAGGCGTAGCATCTGGACGGGCTTACCAGTCCCCTATCTTGGAGGCCATCTTGGGCGAACTTGGATGCCATCTCGGGTCATCTTGGCTATCTTGGAGGCGACTGGGCAGTTTGTTCGGCGGTCTGCGCGGCCTTCCGTGTGGCCGGCGGCATGTGCCGACGCCCCAGGGGGAGCTCTGCTGGAAACGAACCAACCAGGAGGGGAAAAAACACACAGACACAATCCATCGTCGATTCCCAAGAAAATGTGGGAAACTATGGGAAGTGGGGGGGAAAACGAAAACCCAGAAACTATGGAAAAATATGGGGAATCTGTTTATTTGCGTGTATTTATTTGTGTGTCCTGGGGCCCCTTCAACCAAACTCACCCCCTCAGCACATTTAGCACGCCAGGCACCCCTGTGGCAAGCCACCAGGGGGCAGCGGATCCAATAGCCTTCGGCCCATCCCGCGACCGTGCCCGGGATGCTTCTTGTGGTCATTTCGAAGTCCTCTTGGGCGCCTCTCGGGGGCAGTTTTGGGGCCTCTTGGAAGCCTCTCGGGAGTTCTCTTTGGGGGCCTCATGCCTCTTGGAGCCTTTCGGGGGCCTCTTCGGGTCTCTTGGGGCCTCTTGGGGGCTTCTTGGGGCCCCTCGGGACCGAGAGCTCGAAGTGTCCGTTCGAGTCCCCGATATGGGCCCTTCGGGGCAGTTTGGGCTGTCTTGGTGCCGTCTTGGGCCGTTTTGTGGCCCTCTTGGGGGCCTCTGGGGCCGTTTTGGGGCGGTCCTGGGGGCCTCTTGGGCCGTCTTGGAGCGTCGGGAGCTCGAGCGGTCGAGAACGCCAAAATCATTGAAACACCTACGAACAATCAATGGATTTTGCCTCTCGGGGCCCTCTTGGGAAGGTGCTTGGGGTTTTCTTGGGGCGTCTCAGAGGCTTCGTGGGCCGTCTTGGGGCCATATTGGAGTCTTGTGGCGTATGGGGGCTCTCTTGGACCGTCTTGGAGGCCTGCTGGAGCCATCTTGGCCCGTCTTAGGGCCCTCTCGGGTTTCGAACAAGTCACGCGGGGAGCCGGGCCACGGCTCGAGGGGCTCCTCCTCCTCCTCCTCCTCCTCCTCCTCCTCCTCCTCCTCCTCCTCCTCCTCCTCCTCCTCCCCCTCCTCATAGGCTTAGAGGATGAGCCCAAGGCTCCCTCCTTGTCGTCTCCTCCTTTCCCTTCTCCTCCTGGCCAGAGCCAAATTCTGGCCGCCCCAGCGCGGGCCCGCGGAGCACCCCTGGTGGAGCCCCCCGGGGAGGCCCCCGGGGGGCGATGCCCTGCTCCGTCGCAGCCATCGCGGGGCCGTGGGCGCCGACGCGCGTCTCCTCCCCCCCGAACACCGACGCGCAGTCCCGCCAGTCTGAGCGCCAGCGGCCCCGTCGGGCGCTCTCCTGTGGCCCCCCCTCCCAGGGCTCGATTCGATTCCTCCCATTCGATTCGGTTCGACTTCGATGGCTTCCGATTCCGATTCGATTCGATTAGGGATTCCGATTTGGGTTCCGATCTCGCATTCGTTGGAGGCACACCAGCCTGCCGATGTCCGCCGATTCGAATTTTCCCGACTCGACTGCCGATTTCCGCCGATCCGATTAATTTCGATCGCCGATCCGACTTATCGATTCGATTCTGGGCTCTCCTGCCTCTTGGGAGGCCCACGTGCGTTTCGGCTGTCTTGCGGTGACCCGCAACCCTGAAACTGGACCCCCCCCTTGGGAGGCCCAGGTGGTCACTGTTTTTGTCTGTGTTCTGACTGCGATCGTGTTTGATTATGATTATAAACAAACAATTATTCGTATGAGTAATGTGTGATGGCTGGATCCAAACGCGAGTGAGTCTGCACTGGATCACCCGGCTCTTAGTCTGAGCGTGAGTGTGCCTGGCTGTGAGTGAGTCTGAGTCTCGGTCGGCCTGGCCGTGCGCGAGCCCGAGCCCGTGCTCTGGCCGTGCGTGGGCCCCGGCGAGGGCGCGGCGGAGACGCCACCGCTGGCCGCGAGAACCCCGCCGCCAGGACCAGCGGGGCACGCGGCCCACGACGGCGGGCCCGCCGGCCGGCCACCCCTCCCGGGAGGCCCGCCTCTCGGCCTCTGGGGGCGCCCCCCGCTCCAGGCCGCGGCGGGAGCACGCCGTCCCTCGGGAGGCGGTCGCGGGGGCCTCCGGGCACCCGCGCCCGTGGCGAGCTCACGGCGTCGGAGGTCAGCCGTGATCGTCGGAGGGGAGGCGTCGGTGCTTCCATGTCGTCGGGGTCTTCTGCTCGGCGGCGGGTCCGGGGGGGAAGGCGAGAACGGGTGGGCCTTCTCAGGAGGCTCTGAAGTCCCACCGCCTCATGAAAAGTGTTCTCTAGTCCTTCCCCGAAGACAGACACGTCTCAGAAGGCCAGGGCTCTTCTGAGAAGTCCCGCCGCCTTCTGAGAAGGCCTCCTCCTTCTCACTTGCCCTCTCGCTCGCCTCCGATATACGGCCTGCACGGTCAATCCGATTCATTCCTATTATCCGAACGTTGGCTCGGCCTGCAGAAAGGGGGTCGTGTTACGCTGAGTGTCCACCGCTTTGACACCTCAGGCGCGCGATGAGTTAGTTTCGGCCCAAGGTTCACTACATTTTAATTCGGCACCTTTTGGTGGCATGCTCGTAGCCTTGCGTGCATATCTACTTTGTGTAAGTATCTAGTTCTGTCTGGGCAATTGCGAACTCTCCGTCGACTTCGGACCACCAACACCGTGCCCGCACTCTCAGAACCAACGGCGCTCGAATGTACAGCTCAGCAGCGCAAGTGTCCGGGACGGCGAGACAGAGGGAGTCGCAATCGAACTCCGCGTCCATCGCAGTTTTTATCGATCGTTGTAAACATGCAAAGCACTGGAGCTCAGCGCTCCATGTTCTTCGAGACGCATCGCGGTCGCTTGGAGAGGTCAGCAACTACATGCTCTACAACATTGCCATCAGCGCATGTGGAAGGGGGAGGGAATGGCAGAAGGCTTTGTCACTGCTGTGGGAGATGAGGTACGCCAGCTCAAATCCAAAGATAAGCAGCTTCAATGCCGGAATGAGCGCGTGTGCCCAGTCTGAGCAGTGGCAGCAGGCTGTGCTGTTGCTCGACAGAACAGCAGAGGCTCGGCTGGCTCCGAACACCATCAGCTACAATGCCTGCCTGAGCGCGTGCAAGAACGGTGCGCACTGGCAGGCAGCCGTGTCCTTGTTCCGTTGCCTGCAGGACGCCGGCTGCGAGCCCGACGTGGTCAGCTGCAGTTCGGTAGTTGCCGCCTGCGGCAGAGGCGGACAGTGGCAGGTGGCGTTAGCCATGCTCCAAGGATCGGGAACACGTAAGGCTCGAGCACGCCAGAACTCAGGTCTGCCGACGCTTTTTGATGATGAGCGCGTCCTGGATTTTGACGGTCCAGTTTTCGTGGGATGCCTGCATCGGGAGTTCGCGGCAATTTCTAGACTGGTGGGTTTTGTCATTTTCATTGGTGGCCCCGTCAGGCCAACTCGAGTCCCCAGAACCCGAGTCTTACGTCTCCCCGAAAGGAGCAAGAGGAGCAAAGCTTCACCTGAACATCGCAAGCTACAATGCTGGAATCGGCGCCTGCCAGGGCGGTGGCCACTGGCAGCAGGCACTCTCGTTGCTGGGCCAGCTGCAGGAAGCGAACTTGGACCCAGATGTCGTGTCCTTCACTGCTGGAATCAGCGCTTGCGAGAAAGCTGGGCAGTGGCAGCAGTCGTTGTCATTGCTTCGCGAGTTGGGGAATGCGAAGTTTGCCCCGAACGTGGTCAGTTACAGCGCTGGAATCAGCGCTTGCGGGAAGGGTGGGGATTGGCAGAATGCATTGTTGTTGTTGATCGAGATGTCGACGCTTAGTGTTGAGCTCAACACGATCAGCTGCAATGCTGGCATCAGTGCGTGCGAGAAGGGTGGGCAGTGGCAGCGGGCGTTGTTGTTGCTTCAGAGGGCGTTCGAATCGAATGTGGAGGCTCGGAAGCCGGGCAAGGGCTTCTAAATCTGTGGCTGCTAAAATCGACCTCCGGGAAGTTGTCTTCGCCCTTCCGGGAAGAAGCCCGTTGACTGTTTCGCGTGCCGCGCCACATTCCAGGAAGTTGTTTTTTCCTTCCGGGAGGGCCGTTTTAGCAGCCACGGTTTTAGCAGCTTTCGCCCAGCTTTCGAGAGGCCGACGTCATCAGCTACGGCGCCGCGGCCAGCGCCTGCGAGAAGCGCGGGCAGTGGCGACAGGCGCTGTCGCTGCTCAGCGAGATGCGGGAGGCGAAGCTGCAGCCGAGTGTGATCACATCTTCATCGCCCGGCCACGCGCAGAGGGGGAGGGTTGAATATTCAATTACCCTGGCGACGTACCCAACCCCTGCTCAATGCGGGGCATGAGTAGCTTGGGAGACGTTATACGGTGGTGATGACGTGACATGGGCGCATATACTTCTGCGAGCGGCATTCGGGAGGCTCGCAGCCCCCCAAGCCCCAAGGATTGCGATGTCCCGCTCAGATCTGCCTGGTGCCTCGCTCCGCTGGACCCACCAGCAGCCCTCGAAAGCGGCGACAGTTTCGCAGATCGCAGCCCCCCAGGGACGGCGAGGCCCCGCTCAGATCCGCGCGGTGCCTCACTCCGCAGGACCCGCCAGCAGCCTTCGAAAGCGGCGACAGTTTCGCAGATCGCAGTCCCCCAGGGACGGCGAGGTCCCGCTCAGATCCGCGCGGTGCCTCACTCCGCAGGACCCACCAGCAGCCCTCGAAAGTGGCGATAGTTTCGCAGATCGCAGCCCCCCAGGGACGGCGAGGTCCCGCTCAGATCCGCGCGGTGCCTCACTCCGCAGGACCCACCAGCAGCCTTCGAAAGTGGCGACAGTTTCGCAGATGTCCCGCTCAGATCCGCGCGGTGCCTCACTCCGCAGGACCCACCAGCAGCCCCGAAAGGCGACGTTTCGCAGATCGCAGCCCCCCAGGGACGGCGAGGTCCCGCTCAGATCCGCGCGGTGCCTCACTCCGCAGGACCCACCAGCAGCCCTCGAAAGTGGCGACAGTTTCGCAGATCGCAGCCCCCCAGGGGCGGCGAGGTCCCGCTCAGATCCGCGCGGTGCCTCACTCTGCAGGATCCACCAGCAGCCCTCGAAAGTGGCGAAAGTGTCGCAGATCGCAGCCCCCCAGGCACGGCGAGGTCCCGCTCAGATCCGCGCGGTGCCTCACTCCGCAGGACCCACCAGCAGCCGTCGAAAGTGGCGATAGTTTCGCAGATCGCAGCCCCCAGGGGCGGCGAGGTCCCGCTCAGATCCGCGCGGTGCTTCCCCCGCAGGACCCACCAGCAGCCTCGAAAGTGGCGACAGTTTCGCAGATCGCAGCCCCCCAGGGGCGGGAGGTCCCGCTCAGATCCGCGCGGTGCCTCACTCCGCAGGACCCACCAGCAGCCCTCGAAAGTGGCGACAGTTTCGCAGATCGCAGCCCCCCAGGGACGGCGAGGTCCCGCTCAGATCCGCGCGGTGCCTCACTCCGCAGGACCCACCAGCAGCCCTCGAAAGTGGCGACAGTTTCGCAGATCGCAGCAGGGACGGCGAGGTCCCCTCAGGTGCCTCACAGGCAGCAGCCCTCGTGGCGACCGCAGATCGAGGTCCCGCTCAGGGCGGGGAGGTCCCGCTCAGATCTGCGCGGTGCTTCACTCCGCAGGACCCACCAGCAGCCCTCGAACGTGGCGACAGTTTCGCAGATCGCAGCCCCCCAGGGACGGCGAGGCCCCGCTCAGATCCGCGCGGTGCCTCATTCCGCAGGACCCACCGGCAGCCATCGAAAGTGGCGACAGTTTCGCAGGTCGCAGCCCCCCAGGGACGGCGAGGTCCCGCTCAGATCCGTGCGGTGCCTCACTCCGCAGGACCCACCAGCAGCCCTCGAAAGTGGCGGCAGTTTCGCAGATCGCAGCCCCCCAGGAACGGCGAAGAGAGGGCAGGAGGCGAGAGGAGAAGAAGGAGAGACGCGACGACACCCCTCTATGCAAAACGAACACCCAACCAAGGAGGATTGGGAAAAATAGCCAACAATAGTCGGGGGACGATGTTTTGAATTTTTTGTGCATATTTTGAGTCTGTTTTGAGTATTCTATTTTTCGTTGAACATTTCCCTGTAAAGGGATACGCCCGACTCAAGGGTAGGGGGAGGCGGGGACGGCTTCTTCGAATCACCCATGCTTCGTACAAGGTGCGGGCCTTCTCCGCGTAGATGTAAGGCCCGCGCCTTGGAAGAAGCAGCCTCCTACTAAGACGCCTTTCCCGCCTCCCCCTACCCCCTGTGCGCGCCTCCAGAACTCAAATCTTCATCGCGGGGAGTCGCGCGTACGAGTGGGGCGCTTAGATTACCTGTTCACTCGCCCTGGGCGAAGTCTGTGTTCGGACCTCGCTGCCGATCTGGCCAATCAAGCAAGGGTGTCTGCATTTCTTTCGGTTCGGCTGCTTCGCATCCGTCTGTGTTCGGTCGGCTCGATTCGGTCGGATGCTGCGCCGCTGCGTCTTTCTACGGTGCGTTCGGTCTGTCGGATTCGGTCTTGCTGTCGGTTCGATGGGTTTTCGGTTTTGCTGTCACAGTGGACGCCTATGGCAAGCTGAGTCTTCCAGAAATGCTTCGGCTCGCCCCCAGGAATACGTCAAGGGCTCTGGGATAGCGCACTGGAGCCTCAAGGGTCGCCACAAAGCGAGAGCCTTCAAGACGTGCCCCAAAAAGGCCTCAAGAGAAACCTCAGACGCCGAACATCATCGCATTCCCTTTTGGTCCTTGAATGTTCTTTGCTCTTACGATGTCTTGCCGCAATGTTGTTCCACCTGTGCTTCACACGGCCTCGGGTGCACCAACATGCCTCTAAGGTGACCCCCAGACGGCCAAGACGTCTTCCACTAAGCTCCGAGAAGCTCCCACGATGGTCCAAGATGGCCCATAGGAGTGTTCCTGGAGCCACAGCGCGTTCCCGAGAGGCACCCACAGGCCGCCACGGCGGTCCAAGAGGCCCCCTGAGAGCCCGAAGAGGGCCCCAAGAGAGCTCCACCATTTGGTCCACGTGCCGCAACGCTAGCAGCATCGGCTCCGCTCAGGTATAGCAGCAGCAGCCGGCATCAGCAAACACATCAGCAATCGGCATCGGACAAACACCAACATTCAGCACGAAGCAACGGGAAATCCCAGCAGCACATCATAGCGGGTTACAGCAGCCTGCACCAGCGAAGAGCGGACACAAGCACTCGTCGCAGTAATCATCAGCACACGTCAGCGAGCTACACGACGTATCGTCAGGCTGCAGCACGTCGACATCGAGCGGACAATCAAGGTATTGTGCAAGTGAGCAAGCGGTCCAACAAGCATCTAACAACACCAACAGGCAAGCAGCGGCCAGGAGGCCGGCAACCGCGCAGGGGGGGCAACACAATTGACACGCAGACAAGCATACTTGACAAGCACCAGCGGCCCCGAGTAGAAGCATCACGCCGAGCAGCATCAACCAGCGGCAGCAGCAGCAGCACCACGCGTTCAAATACGAGCTTTTTGCACTGGTAGGCGAGGCACCAGGCAGCCATCAGCAACCAGCTCCAAGGAACAGCAGACAGAACCGCGCCGTAGCTACTTGCAGCAGCGTTGATCATCACACACCAGACAGTAAGGACCAACCATCAGCGACCAGCAGCGGCCATGTAGCAGCAGACACTCCGTGGCAGCGAGCGGAACAATAAGCCGTGACACAATGAAACAGCTATTCAAGCCAATCTACAATCAGACATTCAACACGTCGGATCAGCACCCTACCAGCCACGAAAGGAAGGCAACACGAACTAAGACGCGCCATCTATCATACGTAACCAAGAAACAGCGCCGTCCTGCAGCAGAACGCGGCAGCTTCGAGCAGCAGTGGCAGCCAACAGTATCAATCCCGAATAATGCCACATCATACACCAGCAAGGCAGCAGTAGCGCGCATAGCCACCGCCAGCAGCAGTTAGCAGCACGCAGTACAAATCAGCGGTAAGCGACAGTAAACGGCAGTACGCGGGAGTAAGCTGCAATGAGTGGACGGGCAAGTGTTGAGGCAAGCAAGCCGACGAGCAATCTATCAGTCTAGCCCGCCAGCGTGCAATTTATCGGTGTTAGTGTTCTTATGCCAGATGGCTAGCAGCCATGTCCTCAGGACAGCGCGCACGCAGGCAAGCATGCAAACGATCTCCAGCCTTGCATTTGAGTAGGGTATAGTGGACGTAGCTTCACGGGTCAGCCCTGGTCATTTACAACATTGGACTCAGCGCGTACGAGAAAGCTGAGCAGTGGCAGGTGGCGATGTCTTTGCTGAGCGAGATGCTAGAGAAGCAGATGCAGCCAACCATCATCACTTTTAACGCTGGAGTCAGCGCTTGCGCGAAGTGCGGGCAATGGGAGCAGGCGGTATCGTTGCTCGACGAGTTGTGCGCCGTGAAGGTGGAGTTGGACAGTCTCAGCTACGGTGCTTGCGTGAGTGCGTTCGGGAAGGGCAGGCAGTGGGAGCAGGCGCTATTGTTGTTCAGTGACCTGCATGCAGCCAGGTTGGAGCGCGGGGCTTTCAGCTATAATGCTGCTATTTCCGCGTGTCAGGGGGGCGGACAATGGCAACATGCATTATCTCTGCTAGGCGAGGCGTTGGAAGCGCAGTTGGAGCTGGATACCACCAGCTACAGTTCTTCAATCACTGGTTGCGAGACCAGCGGAATGTGGCAACGGGCGTTGGCGTTGGTAAGCAGTATGAGTGATATGCGTTTGGAGTTGGGGCAACGGGCGTTGTCATTGCTTAGTGGCTTGCGTAAAGCATCGGTGCAGCCAGACGGTATCAGCTACAGTGCGTGTATCCGCACTTGTAAGGCCAGTGGACAGTGGGAGCATGCACTTGCGCTTTTCAGTGAACCGGTCACATTGAAGGTGGAACCGAACGCCATGACCTACAACTTCGTGATCAATGCGTGTGAGAAGGAACGCCGATGGCAGCAGGCGTCGTCGCATCGAAGGGAGGAGTTGGAATCTAGGCGCGTAACGTCGCTGCCCATCGAAATACCCGAAGAGAAGTCGCTGCCCATAAATATACCTGAAGTGCAAATAAAGGCAGATGCCATAAGCTTCAACGCTGAAATCACGGCGCGCGAGAAAGCGGGACAATGGGAGCAAGCGTTGTCGTCCTTGAACGAGATGCGGAAGGCGAAGTTGATGCCCGATACGGTCGCCTACAATGCTGGCATCCGTGCGTGTCAGACGGGCGGAAAGTGGTATTGGACGTTGTCGCTGCTGCGGGAGATGTCGGTGGCACGGTCGAAGGTGGATGCCGCGAGCTACAGCGCCGGGATCAGCGCGTGCCAGAAGGTCGGATTGTGGCAGCTGGCGCTGTCCATGATTAGTGATCTGCGTGCAGCGAGTTTTGCTCTGGGCGTCGCCAGCTGCAATTCACTGATCGGCGCGTGCGAGAAGGCAGGGCAGTGGCAGCGGGTGCTGTCGCTGCTGAGCAGTCTCTGCGAGGCCAACGTGGAGCTGGACCGCGTCAGGTGCAACATGAAAATCAGAGCTTGTGAGCACGGCGGATTGTGGCAGGATGCGCTATCTTTGGTCAGTGATGCACGCGCAGCGAATTGGAATCTTCGTGTCGCCAGCTGCACTGCACTGATCGGCGCATGCGAGAAGGCGGGGCAGTGGCAGCGTGCGCTGTCATTGCTGAGTGGTCTCGGCGAATCCAAGGTGCATCCAGACAGTGCCAGGTACACCATGGGAATCAGAGCGTGCTCGCAGGGCGAGAGGTGGCAGGACGCACTGTTGATGTTTTTGCAGATGCTGGAAGCGAAGATGGAGCTGGACACAGAGACCTACAACGCATGTGCCAGCGCGTGCGAGCGAGGCGAGCTGCGACGGAAGGGACTGTCAGTGCTCAGCGGTATGTGGGAGTGGGAGGGCCAGGCAAAGCAGTGGTGGAGCCAGCGCAGGCGAGGCGAAGAGTACCGTGCCCGGCGTGAGCGGCATGAGCTTCTGAAGAGCCGCTTGGTGTCGCGGCTCCGCGGCTAGCGGGAATCGATGTACTGCATAGGAACGGGCGGTCTACCCGCCTGTGCGCACGAGAGGGGCAAGACGTGGCAGCGGGAGTCTCATTATCCAGGGCATCGTGGAAGTTGTGGTTGGAGCTGGCCGATCGGCGGTATTTCTGCTGCAGCCTGGCGTTCGCAAGGGAGCCGGACATTGGCTTTAGGGGCCTCTCTGCATCTCAGAAGGGCGCGCGACGTGGAGCTGGTGGCGCACTCCGACGCGGGCGCGTTGCGGCCCGCGCGACTCGGCGATGTTCTGGACGCCCGACATCGGTACGGAAAGAATGGGTACAATGCCCAACAGCAGTTCCTGCTCATTTCGAACAGGACTCGCTGTCGGTGTCGCCGCGGCCTGTGTACATTTCAGACAGAAGGCCGCCTGCCCAACAGCGGCCGCTGTTGGTTTGGGACAGCATGTGTTGCTGGGCATTTTGTGCACCTTTTTCCATACCCCTTTCGGGCGTCCAGAGATGTGTGCACGGCGAAGTCGTCGCCCGATGGCATCGGACGGAGCGCTGCAGCCGGTGTACTCAAGAAGGATTTGCAGCAGACTGGCGCCGCGCCGACGCGGCGGCGACCCCAGTGCCAGCGCAGGGCCGGACCTCAACGGTGCTTTCGGCGATTTCGTGGGCCGTTTTCGTATCGATTTTGTTTTGCGGTGAAGGCGGATCGAAAACAACAAACGAGGGAAAACGAAAGCAAAACGAGAACGAGAAACACCGTTTAGATTCAGCCCTGCCCAGTGCCAGCGTTCAAGGTCGATCGCCGCCAGTGGCTCTGGAACTGGCCGACGTCGAACGGTTTGTGCTGTCTCAGAAGGGAAAAAACACAGACACAATCAATCGTCGATTCCCCAGAAAATATAGGAAAATGTTGGAAGTGGGGGGGAAAACAAAAACCCAGGACATGTGGGAAAATATGGGGAATCCTGTTATTAGTGTCTATTTATTTGTGTGTCCCAGGGCACCTTCACCGTCGGAGAGGCGGGCTCGCTCGCGGTTGCCCGATCCACGCGGTGTCGGAAACCAACGCGCAGGTCGTCACGACAGTCACCTGCCGCACGGCAGCTTCGCCTGGTGATGACCGGCGGCGACCTCGCCGCTAGCGTTCAACGCTGAACGCCGCTGGTGATCCAGAGTCGGTCGGTGTTGACCGATATTCATCGAGGTTAAAAGAACTCCTAACCTTAACAACAGATGGAAGTCGTGGCCTCTACGAGAGCCCCGTCCTTGCACTAGGGATAATAATTCTGGGCGGTTCGGCCTGGTACATCTGAAGAAACGAGACCCTATCCTTAATGTCTTCGGCCCTCCTGACGTAAGTCCCCTCCCAAAGGGTCAGGGGTGAATCAGATACGACGTTTCGGAAACGGCCGATCGTTCCAGGTTTGAACGATCCCCGCGGTGTCAGGGACCAGCGCCGGGGTGGACACGACACGAATCTGCCGCACCCCTGCAGCGGCGGCGAGCGATGCCGCAGCCCGGCCGCGAGCCGGGCCGCGCGTTTGGGGAGCGCAGGCGCGAGAACGCAGGCCGGGTGCCGTCGTGTGCGGCGTCTGCGCACGTGCTCAGAGGAGGAAAAAGACCCGTACCTCTACCCTCCACTCGTTTTCCTTATTTTGACCCTCCTGGGCCTCCGTCGTCGCCACCGCTGGATTGGCCTCGAAATCCTGGTCAGAACGCACCCCAGGAGAGGTCTGGGGAGCAGCGGTATCGGTGCCTTTGGGTGCCCCCGCGTGTGGGGGGCGGGGCTGGGCACTGGAGGTGGGCACTGGCACCTTACAGCTACGTCGGGCCTGTCCCTCTACAGGAGGCGTATTCAAGAATAGAAAAAAATCGTTGGGGGACGTTTTTTTGACAATTTCTTTGATATTTTGGGATCTGTTTTCATTGTGGCCGCGCGCGGCGTCGGCCGGAGACGGCCTCAGTAACCTCAGTTCACCTCAGTAACCTCAGTAACCTCAGTTCACCTCAGTTAACCTCAGTAACCTCAGTTCACCTCAGTAACCTCAGTTCACCTCAGTAACCTCAGTTCACCTCAATAACCTCAGTTAACCTCAGTAACCTCAGTTAACCTCAGTTAGCCTCAGTTACCCTCAGTAACCTCAGTTAACCTCAGTTAACCTCAGTTAACCTCAGTAACCTCAGTTCACCTCAGTTCACTTCAGATAACCACAGTGAGCCACCGTGAAGCTCAATTACCATATGTTAGCCTCTGTTCACCCCAGTTAACTGCGTTATCCCCTGATGCAAGAAACTGAGGCGGAAACTGGGGTTAATCTGAGTGTAACAGCGGGCGCCCCGTTGTCAACACCTTCCTTCGCCCCCTCATTAACCCAGTTAACCTCAGTTTTTTTTCTCCTCCCGATGCAAGAAACTGGGGGAACTCAGGGGAAACTGAGTGTGACTTCGGGCGCCCGTTGTCAACACCTTCCTTCGTCCCCGCATGTCCCCCCGTCTTGCATAATCATTCCTCGCTGCTCCGCCTCCTTTCTGGTTCTGCCTCCTCTCCCCCTCCCTTCGTCCTCCTCTTCTCCTGCCCCCTCCTAATTACCTCTTCCGAGCCTTCCCTGCCTTTTCCTGTCCCCTCATCCGAATTATCTCCTCCTACAAATTCCTGCCTTCTCCTACTTCCTCCTACCTCTACATCTATCCGTATCCTCCTACTCCCTCTTACCTCATCCTACCCCCTCGTCATTGTCATCGTCGTCGTCATCGTCGTGCTCGCCGTAGGCCCTCCCAGGCGGCAAGTGGGAGCAATACCATATGCAACTACGAGGGCCCATTTCCGCTATCCCTATCCCAGGCGACAGCGCCGAACAAACAACGAAACGAACGGGCACGCATTAGTGGGGATGAAGTGAACCGTGGCCGCTATGATGCTACCTTCCTTTGTCACTGACGCTCCTCCGGGTGGCCTGAAGATACAAGCGCGCGGGGTAATTTGCGTCTGAGCGGAAGTACTTGTGGCACGAACCCGCTGGTGGTTCGTTGGGGAGCGGGGGAAAGGATGAAAGCAGGCTCGGGGTGCGGGTTGGGGGGAGGAGGACGGAGGGGAAGGGAAAAGGGAGGTGGGAAGGAGGGGTTAGAGTGATGATGATGATGACGACGACGATGATGATGATGATGATGATGATGATGATGATGATGATGATCATGATGAAAACGACAGTGATCAAAAACCATCTGCACAGAGCAGCGATCGGATCATTGAGCGCCGTCGGAGGTCTTGGAGGCCCTCCGCATGGATGGGAGAAAAATAATGACGATGAGGATGATGATGGTGATGGTGATGATGATGACGACGACAATGATGATGATGATGTTGATGATGACGACGTGGTGACATTTGTGATGATGATGCCGACGACGATGCTTACGACAACGACGGCAGCGACGATCATGATGATGATGATGATGATGATGATGATGATGATGATGATGATGATGATGATGACGGTAATGATGATGAGGCTGATTGTGAACTGTGGCGACGATCATGATGATGATGATGACGGCGGTGATGATGATGATGATGATGATGATGATGATGATGATGATGATGAGGCTGATTGTGATGTTGGCGATTACGACGGTGATGATGACGACAATGACGATGACGACGACCGCGGTGGCGATAACGATAACAGGGGAAATTCTGTACAAAAAGGTCGTTTTGTACAGACATTCCCTTCTGTTTTTTTTGGACAAGTTCGGATATCGTCGCGGTGCAAGACTTAGATCTAGGCCAAGGTGGACTTCGAGGATCGAGGCCAACGAGATCCGAGAATTGAGATGTTGGCGAATATCTAATTACTCTCGAGGTTTTGAAATGGATCGAGGGTCGGATGGTCGAGGTCTCGCATACGCGGGGCGCCAGAAGCCAGAGAAAATTCTGTACAAAATTATTGTGCGCGTGCAGAATTTACCCCTTAGGGTTGTACATTGGGTGGGATGTCTGCGGACCCAGGGTAACTAGGGTAACTGTGTAACTGAGGTGAACTCGGGTAACTAGGGTAACTGAGGTGAACTCGGGTAACTCGGGTAACTAGGGTGAACTCGGGTAACTCGGGTAACTAGGGTAACTAGGCGTAACTAGGTGCAACTAGGGTAACTCGGGCAACTAGGGTGAACTCGGGTAACTCGGGTAACTAGGGTAACTAGGCGTAACTAGGTGCAACTAGGTGTAACTGGGTTCAGCCGGAAGCGCTTGCATGGCGTTTGCTGCGACGCTCGTTGCCGGCACACTGGTTTTGTTTACGATCTTAAGCTGTTTATGTGTTACCGTTTCGTTTCGAGTGTTTTATACATGCCTGTGTTGTCGTCATGCGGTCGCGTCCGTGTAAAGTCAAATTCGCACGAATCACATGTATTTCCAGCTCTTCAATTTCTGGAATTGTGATGTTGGGTGTCGTTGTGATGGAATTTCTTTGTCGCCAGTGCGTTTTTCGCGGTGCCCACCATTTATTTTTTGAGCGGCCCCGACCTATCGCAAAAAGGCGATCTCTTTAGCACGCAAAAAAAAAATAAGAAATCAAAAATGAAACAATACCGATGCACAAATACAGAAATTGGCATATGAGAAAAAAGAAATACAACTGTGCAAATAAAGAAAATATGCTTTAAATAAAATCATCCATTTTAACAGAACAATATTCAACTCGTTTCAAACCATGAATGCTTCAATACGCGCGCGCCATGCCCGTGTGCGTAGATTTCGTCGCGCGACGAACAATTCTGACCTGGGCCGCCCGTCGACTAGTTCTTTAGGTTTTGGCTCTGACACTAGCGCCTTGGGCTTTGACCCTCAGGGGCCTTGCAGCAGGGGCCCTGCAGCTAGTGGCGTGCCCCCTCGCAGAACCTTACATTTCGGGGTTCATGAGTTTGTCGCCCCCCCCGACGTCGTTTCGCGAAAGCGCAAGGTGCGTGAACTTGAACTCCCTAAACATTACAGATAAGTGTTGGTCTTGAAAATGGGTTTTTGCTTTTCTAGGGCCTGCGCCTTGAAAGCGAGCTTTGGGCCAATTCATGCGAACCCTGCCATTGGGGCCTTTGGAGAAGCTCCCTGCGGGGCCGCGAACCGCGCGAGGGGGTGCGCCAGAATGGGGCGGTGGCGCCGTGCGAACCCTCCCACTGGGGGCTTCAGTGGAATTCCAATGGGGCCAAGAACCGTGTGAGGGGCGCGCCAGGATGCCATGCGGCATGCGAAGCCTGCCGTGCGGATTTCGGTGGACACCACGAACCCTGTGAGGGGTGCGCCAAAATGGGGCGGTGGTGCCATGTGCCATGGGGCCAGGCGAGCCCTGCAACTGGGGCCTTCGATGGACCGCCCTATGCAGCGAATCGGGCCGCGAGTCGTGCGAGGGGTGCGCCAGCATGGGGCGGTGGCGCCATGCGAACCATGCCACTGGGGCCTTCGGGTAGCTCCCGATGTGACCACGAACGTTGCGAGTGGTGCGCCATGCCATGCGCCATGCGAGCCCTGCCGCCGAGGCCTTCGGTGGAACTCCCATGTGGGGCCACGAACCGCGTGAGGGGCGCGCCAGTATATGGCAATGGTGCCATGCGAACCCTGTAACTGGAGCTTGGGGTGCAGCTCCCAATGGGGCGCCGAACCGTGCGAAGGGTGCGCCAGAATGGTGCCGCGGTGCCATGCGAACGCAACCGCGCGGGCCTTCGGGGGAGTGGGAAAGTTCTGAAGGGTGCGTCACACTAAGGCGGCGATGCCATGCCAACCCTGCCACTGGGCCTGCGGTGGAGCTACATATGATACGTGTTACATATAAATCCGCGAATCGTGTGAGGGGTGCGCCAGAATGTGGCGGCGGTGCCATGCGAACCTGGCCACGGGGGCCTCCGGGGGCCCCCCATAGCCCATGGCCTATGGGGGCGTAGGCCAATGGGGCCACGAATCGTGCAAGGGGTGCGACAAGATAGGGCTGTGGCGCCATCATCCGAACCCTGCCACTGGGCACATCGGTTGAGCTCCCTACGGGGACACAAAACGCCGTCGTGGGCGTGCCAGAACAGAGACCTTGCAAGGGCAGAGGCAAGGATGATGGCAGGAGGAAGGGGAGAAGAGCCCTGGCCCCGCCCTACCCGCATTTCCCGCACTTCGCGCGCCCAGCAGAGAAGGGAAGGAGAGCCCTGGCCTTGCCCTGCCCGCATTTCCCGCACTTCGCGCGCCCAGCAGAGAGGGGGAGGGGGGCCCCGGCCCCGCCCTACCCGCATTTCCCGCACTTCGCGCGCCCAGCAGGGGGGGGGGGAGGGGAGCCCTGGCCCCGCCCTGCCCGCAATTCTTGCACTTCGCGCGCCCAGCGGAGATGGGGGAGGGGAGCCCTGGCCCCGCCCTACCCGCATTTCCCGCACTTCGCGCGCCCAGCGGAGAGGGGGAAGGGGGCCCTGGCCCCGCCCTACGCGCATTTTTCCAGCACTTCGCGCGCTCAGCGGAGAGGGGGATGGGTGCCCTCGCCCCGCCCTACCCGCATTTCCCGCACCTCGCGCGCCCAGCAGAGAGGGGGAGGGGAGCCCTGGCCCCGCCCTACCCGCATTTCCCGCACTTCGCGCGCCCAGCAGAGAGGGGGAGGGGGCCCTGGCCCCGCCCTGCCCGCATTTCCCGCACTTCGCGCGCCCAGCAGAGAGGGGGAGGGGGGCCCTTGCCCTACCCGCATTTCCCGCACTTCGCG